ATTAGCAGAAGAAAAACAGAAATCGCCTTCACCGATATCTGAAAAAGAGAAATCTCCAGCAGCTGAATCAGATAAACAGAAATCGCCTTCACCAGTATCAGACAAGGAAAAATCACCTGCATTAGCAGAAGAAAAACAAAAATCGCCTTCACCGATATCTGAAAAAGAGAAATCTCCTGCAGCTGAATCAGATAAACAAAAATCGCCTTCACCAGAATCAGAAAAAGAGAAATCACCAGCATTAGCAGAAGATAAACCGAAATCAACTTCACCTGTATCTGAAAAAGAAAAATCTCCGTCAGCAGAACCTGAAAAACATAAATCTCCTTCTCCAGTACCAGAAAAGGAAAAATCTCCATCTCCAGCAGTGAGAAAAGAAAAATCTGCATCACCGGAATTGGATAAACCGAAATCGGTATCTCCAACGTTAGAAAAAGAAAAATCTTTATCACCAGTGTTGCAAAAAGATAAATCCCCTATAACAGATACACAAAAATCTCATTTGCCTGAGACTGCGAAGCCTACTCCAGAAAGTATGAGAAGGGAAAGATCTCCTACTCCAGAAGATGGAAAATTACGTAAATCAATTTCACCTGATGTAGATGATTCAATCAAATCGCCGACTGGTAGTGTGAAAGAACAAAAAGACGATATTGACGAAAACATTCCAAAAGACAGATCACGATCTCATAGTTTGTTCGAATCTGGGGACAAAACACCATTAACTCGTTCTCGTGCAGCAAGTTTGTACGAAGACAAGATACCAGACAAATTGAACCTTCAGGAAGAATCAAAAACTACTTACGATAGCAAAGAAAAGAAAACACCATTAGATGAAAAAGAAGAAGAAGCAGAAGAAGAATATGAAGAAGAAGAATTGATGGAAAAGGATAGATTAAAGAGTGGCAAAATTGGTATTACCAGTTCGATTCAGGAAGAATTTGAAGAAGTTTATTCCAGAAAAGCTAGTCAAACTAAAGATACAGATAGTGGACGAATTCTTAAACTCGAGAAATTTGAAGATGAAGAAGATACTGTCATTAAAGTAACTGCCGAAAAGAAAGCAGAAATCGAAAGGTATCTCGTCGATGAATTTTTAAACAAGAAACAAAAAATTACGATGTCTGCGATCGAAATAATTGTCCTATCTTACGCTGTACCAGAATTTACAGTAATGGACATTATAGAAGATATATTGAGACGTAAAAATCTTCGTAAGGAATCGGTATTGGACTTTGTCGATGAAGATGTTGAAGAAAAGTCATCTTCTGGAAAGTCTAAATCGAAAACAACGGGTATAAAAATGGTATCTACTGAAAAGATCAGAGACGTTGAAGGTTATATAATCAATGAATATATCGATAAAAATAAAAAGATCACTAGTACTATCCTAGATGATATAGCAATTCTAAAAGGTATTCCACGAAAATTCCTCATCATGATAATTCAAGAGGTTACCGTTAGAAGAAAGATTCCCAGTGGTTTCATCATGGATACCGAAGTTTTGCAAGAATCATTAAGAAAAACGTGGGAAGATGAAGGATTAGCCAAGATGAAAGAAAAAGATGAAGAACACGACAAGAGTGGACGAGATTCAAAGAGTCCGAGTTTGAGTTCGGAACCAATACCTTCAGACAAGTCCACTCAGGATAGTCCGCTACATTCTGAACCACAGATCGACGAAGAAATTTCTATTTCTGAAGAAAAACGTACGGAAATCGAACAACTTCTCGAAAATGAATATATTAAGATGGGACGTAAAATTACCGAAATCATTTTGGAGGAAATAATCATAAGAACTTCATTACCGAGATACATTATTCTCGAAATAATCGAAGAAATAATTATTAAAAGAAAATTATCACGGGAATCTATAATCGACGTTGATATCTATCAAGAAGACGAACCCGAAAGTTTTAATAAATACGAATATCGATACGAAAAATCATCAGATCTTGGATTAGCCGATTCATGTAGAAAAATGTCTGCCGAATACAGATTAGGTGGATACACGGAATCAACTGGTAGACAAATGGACAAATCTATTCCAAGTGGTTATCCGTTAGAATACGAGAGTCAATTCCACAAAGCTTTCGTTGGTGGAATGACAGAAATTCGTACGACACATATAACAACGTTATCCGGAAAATCAACACCAGATTTTGCTACTCGTGACGGTACACCCGATTCAACTTCTGAACCAACTGGTTCAACCGTTGAAAGAATGACCGATAAGGGAATGAGATCGGTTGACAGAGTATCACCTGACAAACAACAAACGATGATTTCTAAGGGCGAGATAACTATTCAAAAAGTTGAAATATTAAAGGAAAGTAGAATCGGCGAACAAGAAATTCCTCCTGAGGAAAAAGATAAACAAGAAGATGTACGAGTTATCAGAAAAATAATCAGTCGTAAATTTGTCGAACAAGAAGAGGAGGAAGAGCCGGAAATTGTAACCAAGGTTGTCAAAAGAAGAGAAATAATCGAGCCAGAAGAATCAGAAGATACCGAAGAAATGTCAACGAAGGAAACGATTACGAGGAAGATTGTAAAACGTGATGTTACAGAAGACGAAAGTGGACCAGAAATTATTACTAAAATAATTAAAAGAGAAATAATCGAAGACGATGAACCCGAAATAATAACTAAAGTAGTTAAAAGAGAAATAATCGAGGAAGATGAACCCGAAATAATAACTAAAATAGTTAAAAGAGAAATAATCGAGGAAGACGAACCCGAAATAATAACCAAAACAATTAAAAGAGAAATAATCGAGGAAAGCGAACCCGAAATAATAACCAAAACAATTAAAAGGGAAATAATCGAGGAAGGCGAGCCCGAAATAATAACCAAAACAATTAAAAGGGAAATAATCGAGGAAGACGAACCCGAAATAATAACCAAAGTAATTAAGAGAGAGATCATTCTTCCCGAAGAGAAAACGTCTGATACGCAAGATCATGAGATTGTTAAAAGGGTAATTAGCAGGGAAGAAACACCAGAATCAGTTGAAACGATAACAACTAAGACAACGCGAACTGTAGTTACCGAGGATCTTCCAACATCAAAGATATCAACTTCCGATCTAGAAAAACCAGAATTATATACTTATACGATATCACGCGAGGGTACACCAGAAAAGATCGATACGTCCGATTCAAGTGCTACATATAAAGTAATCAGTCGAGATGTTACGCCAGAAGTTTCGAAAAGTGCCGAAGTTAAAAGAATCGTAACAACGGTTACGACGATTACCGAACCTGACGGTAAAGTTATCACGAAGAAGGACGTTAAAGAAAGTAGTGATACCGTTGACAGTGAAGAACTTTTAGAAAAACTCATTGACTCTACTATCAGTGAAAAAATTGGCAAAGCAACGACAACGACCGAAACGAAAACTACTGAAGGATCGAAAATCGAAAAGGTTATCAAAGAAACGATAACTACAATGACATCTACGTCGGGTACATCTACTCCAGATGTTAAAACTTTCTATGATTCTGGAAAATCGACACCTGATTCGAAATTCGATGAGAAATTGGATACCACTGGTAAAGATCATTTGGAGAAAATTGGAAAATTAGAACATTCGGTTTCACCGTCTGTACGTGATTTTATATCTGACGAGAAAAGTTATTCGGGAAAATCATCACCTGATATATCTTTGCCGAAGGATATCGTTTACAGTGGATCTACCGGTAAATCAACACCGGATATTCCAGTTTCACCGTTGGTCAGGGACGGTGCAGCGGTGCAACCACTTCTATCAGGAAGATCTACACCCGATAAAAGATCGGAAGGTCGTTCTACTACCGCAACTCCTGAAGGATTCAGATCAGGCGAAGTTATTCGTACGATCATTACCACAACTAGAACTATGTCCGATGATGGTGAGATAATTACCACTACCAAAGAAGTTACGGAAGCTACCAATGAGAAAGGTGAAACGATAATTTTGGCTGAAAAGACTGATGTTAAAGTTGATGATCGTTTACCTAGCAAGGATACCGCAGAAATGGCGATCAGGTAAATTCAAATTTAATTTTTTTTCAACGAGTTATTATAACTTTTCGATAATCAACAAAATCTTTGTTTGAAATATATATATAATTCTCTTCATTGACCGTAACATATACATTTACACGAAACCTATTAAATTAGGGGAATTACTTCAATATATTTATTTTTATTAGCATAACTGTACAATTTGTTCAAAATTCAATTAGTTGGAGTGCTAGAAATGAATTATTCATTAGTATTTTATCAACATTATTACTATAACAAAATTGTTCTTATTCCAGTAGCGCGATTGGTAGCATGAAAAGTTCGGAATTACAACGAACCGGAAGTGCAAGTTCCGATGTTAGCAGTGACAAGGATCCTCGTACCGATCAAAGCAGTATTCATAGTAAAACCACGGCGACTCATGCTCATGGTACTAGTGAAGAAAAACAAATGACTTATTCCGATGACGAACCATCAATCTCACCACTTTCTTCAACGTCACAACTCGGTTATTCTTCAAGATCTAGACAGTACGAAAGTTCTTCGGAAAAAGAAACGGATACGCACAAGCCCGTAGAATTTTCAACCGCTGCCATGAGCAGTAGCTTTTATGGCGAATTACCAGCGGTACCGCCGCAAATTACGGCAATGAAAACGTTCCAAGAAAGTGGTTTCCACAAGAGCAGCGATCCGATACCGATTCAAAGTGATTTTACGTTTAAAAGATTCACCGTTGAGAAAGAATACGCCGGTGGTTACGAGGAAAAACACGATACCAAAAAATACGTTGACGAAGCTGATTTAGATTTTGAAAAGGCTTTGATGGAACGAAAGGAATTAAAGGAATCAACCGATTTTGGTAGTACTATTGCACCTAGATACACTAATGGTAATCTTCGAGCAAAATTAACTCACGAATCGATGAAGGCCGATCTTCCGTCATCTTCGGTTACTGACGAAAGTCCGGAAAGTAAAAAGGATTCGAAAAAAGATCCATTGGAAGGATGGGGTACACCTTTGGGTTTACCATCTCCGAAACCACCAAGAAAGTTCAATCTTAAAAATCCGGTACAACCTTCTAACGAATTCTCATCGGACAATCTCAACTTTGACGTTAGCAGCAATTGGGGTGAACCATTAAGATTACCATCACCTGCACCGGTGACTACCGAAGTTTCTAACAAAGGTGCACCGAGTACTCCGAAAAAAGAAAGGAAACAAGCCAAAAAAGTAATGTCGGAAAATTTGAAAAATAAAAAACGTTCCGAGAGTCCTGGTAAAAATGAAAAGAAAATGAAAGATTCTAAGAACAAGGTTCAACCGGTTTACATGGATCTTACTTATGTTCCACATCATGGTAACTCTTATTATACGTCATTGGAATTTTTCAAGAAGATTCGTGCGAGATATTACGTATTCAGTGGTACTGAACCAAGCCGTGAAGTTTACGATGCCTTGTTAGAGGCTAAAAAGACTTGGGAAGACAAAGATCTTGGTAAGTTTCGTAATAAAATTATCTTCATTGATTCCTCACAGGGGAGTGGGGGGTTCATTTTGATCAATAATAATTGATATTATCTACCAGTATGCGTACGAATATTAGATAAAATCGATTTTTCAATTTTTTTCTCTCAAATAGTTAACCAGAATGACCCAATTTCATAAAAACAAAATAATACTATCGATATTTGCTGATTATTTACGTGTTTATTTTCAGAGGTAACAATGATTCCAACTTACGACACGGACACTTTGGGTTATTGGGTTGCCGATAACGAGGAAGCTTTGGCTGCCAATCATATAGATCTATCACCATCGGCATCAAGATGCACGATCAATCTTCAAGATCACGAGACAAGTTGCAGCGCCTACAGGCTCGAATTCTAGGGAATGGCAGCCTGCTCAGCCGTAATAGTCGAGTTCTGAGCGGCTACCGGATATAAACGTTTCAAAATCCTTCAGTCATAAAGTCCGGTGCTATCCCCGCCATATGAAAAATATAGATATTAATTTTTAGGAAAGATGAAAGGAAGAAGGATTAAGAAGAAGGTTGACTAAAGAGAAATGGGTCTTCCTTATTTAATGTGTGTGTGTATAATTATATCCCGTATCGCAAATTCCTTCGATTCTTTTTCCCCGGCATCCCGAGGAAGATAAACACGAGAAGATCTTTTCGCGATCAGCTTTTACACTGCTAAATGCATTTTTCTCTATATACATATACATATATATATCTTTCTATATCGTTTGATATATTTCAAATTAATCGATATATTTATATATAAAATTATTTTTATTAGATAGATATGTTTAAAAAAAAAAAAAAAAAAAAAAAA